CTCAGACGCCCCGACAAGAGTCCTGAGGCAGAGTGCTGCTGGTCACTTCTTGGTGCCTCCGCCACGGGTCCAGGGTGTGTGTGCAGCTTGGGGCCTGAGGGCGACACTGGATGAGAGGCAGCGGGGGTGGGGGGTGGTCGCAGAGAGCTGGGGGCTGCGGTGGTTCTTGGGACGTCCTCCCCAGTATGTGGCAGCTGGCCCTGAAAGTGCCAGGGAGGGTTTTAGATAAAGCAAGTGAATCTGCATGGATTCTCCTGCTGCGACACATCCCCCTGAAAACGGCGCAGGCGGCTGCAAAGATCAGGCCCCCGGGGAGCTCGGAGGCCCTGGTACCAGGCAGCTGCGCCCACAGCCGCTGCTCAGGCCGTGTCCCAGCGTCTGTGGCGGCTGATGAAGGCCACAGGCTCCGTCGCTCAGCGGGGGCCTCGTGGCAGTGGCAGGAGTGTGTTTGGGAGAACATTTAGGAGGCCGGGGGTTGCTGGCTCTTCCTGACCGAGGGCTGGCTCTGGGGACACAAGAGCTAGGCTTCGCCCCTCACAGCGTGGTCAGGTCCGACCTCGGTTTCCAGCCCACTCAGCCTCCCCAGAGGGGCCTGGCCTGGTAACTGTCCCCTCCCCTGTGGTCCCCTGCCGCCTGCAATAGTGGAGTGTCCCCTGGCTGGCACCTCACTCATGACCACCGGCCTCCTTGTCCCCAGTGCCCGTGAGGCTCTCAGAGGTCCCCTTCGACCCTCGCCGAGCCCCATGTGGAGTCCTGGCTCCTGGGAGCCCCTCCGCCCCGCCTGACCACAGCAGGGCCGGAGGGTGGCAGGTCGCCTGGCTAGGAGATGGCATTCGTTAGCTTCTGCGCACAGCCCCCGCGGTTTTCTGCCTGATCGCTGCAGAAGCTTTTCCCGTGGCAGGTGGCTGTCGTCCGTGTGCAGGGTGAGTGGTCCCAGCGTGGGGGCGTCTGCGGAAATCTGGGTGCTGTCACGTGAGAGGAGAGAGGGAGGGTCCTCTGCACAGCTGTTTGTGTGCACACACGTGTATGTGTGTACGTACAGGGGTGTGCACGTGCGCGTGCACGTATTGCGTACCTGTGTGTGCACACACCCGTGTGTGTTTGGGGGAGGTGCTAGCCTGGGCCTCGGCCTCCTCGTGGAGCTTAGCACGGCCTGTCTTTTCTCCAGAATGACAGGCCCGCGTGGCTAAGAAGCTGTGTTACATTTTGGAATCGGCCTCCCTCACTCCCTTTTCTTTCAGGCCCAGCTCTCTCCTGGGACATCTGTTTCTTCTTTTGTCTGTTTCAGTTGTGGTAAAATCAATTAACATTTACCATCTTAACCATTTTCAAGCGTCCAGTATGTTGTGCAGCCCTCTTGAGAAGTCTTCATCGTGCAAAAGGGAAACTCTGCGCCCATCAAACACCGACTCCCCGTTCGTCTCTCCCAAGCCCAGCTTTTGGCAGCCACCATTGTACCTTCTGTCTCTCTGAACTTGACCACTCTAGGTGCCTCATAGACATAAGTAGAATCAGACAGTACTTGCCCTTTGGAGACTGGCCTTATTTAACTCCCAGCATAATGCCCTCAAGGTCCATCCACCTTTTAGCCTGTGTCAGAATTTCATTCCTTTTCAGGGCTGAATAATATTCCCTTGTGTGACTAGACCACGTTTCATTTGTCCATTCATCCATCAGTGGACATTGGGTTGCCCCCGCCTCTTGATGGTGGTGAATCATGCTGCAGTAAGCATGGTGTGCAGGACTTCTGTTTTTCCAGTCTGTCTAGTTTCATCGTTGCAAATACTCCTAGGCCCCCTGGTCCATCTGTCTGGGGTGTCAGTCCATCGATCAGTTCTAGGAACCAGGAAACGAAGGCCACCCCATGGGGAAGCTCTTCCCACAAGCTTCGGGCATCCCTGGGCAGCTGGTGTCTGCAAGGCTGGTCCAGTTAGGGAATGGCATTTTCTGTTACCATTTCACAGAGGACGAAGGAACAGGGAAGTCAAGGAACTTGCCCCAAGGCTCCCAGCTGGGAAGCGGCAGAGCAGGGATTGGGCCTGAGGCCAGCTGTTGTGAAGAGCATGCTCACACTCCCATGGCCCATAATCAGATGCTTGTACAAGGGGCCAGGGGGCGAGTGTGTGCACGGACTTTGCAGCACTTGTGAGCGGTGCAGAGGCCGATATGTTTGTATCTAAGGCCCAGGGTGTTAGTAACCGACGTAAGTGTACACGGGGCCCTGTTTATGGCCTCGGTGGTGGGCCCGCTCTTCTCTCCTCTCACTAAGACTGCAGGGACTGCTGTGCCTCCGAACAATGTGGTGCCACGCGGCCAAGTTCCCCTGAATCCCCTGGAAAAGTTTGCTGACATCTGAGTTAGTCTTGCACAAGTGCTTTTTCCATTTTCAGCTCCATTACACCCAAAGTACAATGCATTAGTTTGCAGACAGGCCCCAGATGACCCAGTTAGCGCTGTTTCTAAATGGATCCTTCCTCTCTTTCCAAAACACCACCATTCAAGAAATCAAGATGTCTCCCGCGGGGAGACACCAGCCTTCTCCCCCGCAGAAGTGCACCCCGTGAGGTTGGAATGCACCCTGGTTCCTGTGGGCATGCCTCATTCGGGAAGGCCAGGACCCGTGTGTGTGTGTGTGTGTGTGCGCGCACGTGCGCGTGCGCGTGCACACAGCCTTCTCCTCAGCATGTCCTGCTCCCCTTCTGTCCTCTCCCCCGGCCTGCCCCCCAGATTCCAGCTGGGGTCACTGCCAGGGTCCAGGTCCATCCTCCTGGTCATTCCCTCTAAAGGGGCAAAGCCGCATGTCCTGCTCCCTCTTCACTTTCTTTCCCCGACTCTCGATGACTAGGGAGGAGGCTGCGAGCAGGGGTGTAACCAAGCCTGCACCTTCTACGGACTGTCCCAGCTTCTTTGCCTGGGAGCACGCGGGGCCCTGCCTGACACTTGGGAAGGCCGGGAAGCGAGCCTGGTCACCCTGAAGCAGCTTCCTCGGGACCTTCAAAGAGCCAGTTACAGTGGGCACAAAATACCCTTAAATCGTTTGGGGGGCAGACAAGGAATAGAAGTTACTCCTTAATTCTCGTATGGAGAATTGGGGCAGTCAGGTAGGCCACCCTGCTTGTCTCTCTCTGCCGGCCCCTGGTGAGCCCCGTCTGAGCCGAGTGCTCGGGCTCCGGGACTGTGACCCGCTCTGCGGCAGGAGTCTGGTTGGCTGGGCAGTCGTGGCCTGGGACTGTGACCTCAGGCCGCGCATATGTCTCCTACTGGAAAGACAGAGACCCCGAGGGCTGGGAGGGACCCACACGGTTGGTTGAGAAAGGCCTGTGGCATCAGTGGCAAGGCAAAAATCCACAAAACAAAGGACAGATGGGAGTCCTGCATATGGTGCCAGGGTCAGCCTGCAGGCAGTGGCCTTCTGAGCCTGTCTGGGCTTCAAAAGTTGCCACGCCAGGTCCTGAGGGAGGGAAGGGGGGGTAGGCGAGGGGGGAGAGCCGTCCTGTCTAAGGGGAGCGTCATCCCCCAGCAGCCTTGGAAATCAGAGGCCCCGGCTGAATGAGCAGGCCTGGCCAGGGCTTGGATGTGAGGTGGCTCTGACACAGGCAGGAGTCCCGGGGGTGCAGCCGGGGGGTGTTCGCCGCAAGGCACAGAGGCGGGTCCCCGATAATGTTGAGCCTTGCCGTGGAATGAAAAGAGCAGTGAGGAGCACAGAAGGGCTCGGCTGTCCTGCCTGCATCGACCACCACCTGTGGCTGGGCCTCCTGCCGGCGGCCGACCCTTGAGCTCTTAGGGTGCTGACCCGACTCACCCTTCCTGATTCTGGCTTGGGGTCCCCTGCCTTCTCAAGTATGAAGATGCCTTAAAAAGTGACCAAATCCTCAATGAGACAAGAGCCATAATCGCAGTGTTTTCAAATTAAGGAAAGCGTAAGGACAAAGGCACCATGAATTTGGCGAGGCCTTTAGATGATGTGGGGTGGCCCCAGGCACTCAGGGGACAGGGCCCAGCCAGCCTAGGCCACTTCTGCCTGGCTCCGGGCTGGGCCTTCCTCATTCTCCAGCATGGCTGGTGGGGTGCGGCCCTCCAGGGCTGCTGAGCTAATGCTGGGGAAGGGGCCACCAGGGTCTGGCCAGTGCTTGCCGAGGTGCCCGGGGTCAGGTGCCGGGGCAGAGTGCACCGGAGAGACCTCCGGCGGTGGGTGGGCCTTCAGGAAGCCTCACCCCCAGGGTCCCTGCTGTTGGACCTGCTTCTGCCCTTGCACTGGGTTGTTGGAAGCAGCGTGGTGGGGAGGGACGTGGTGTCCTCTCGGTTCGCTCCCGCCACTGCATCTCCAGGACTTCAGCATCCCTCCTACAGAGCTATCGGGGTGCAGCCGGCCCACCTTCTCCCCTGAGCCAGCAAGTCTCGTCCTCTAGGGTCTGCCGCCATCTCCCCGTTGTGGTGGGAGAAAGGTGGGCGGGTGTCCACACCTTTCTGATGTCGTGATCTTTAGTGAATTCCACACGCGGGTGGATTTCACAAACTCAGCCTTCATCATCATTTTCCCAAACTCTTTGTGGTTGTCGGCTTGTGAATTCATCACCTCCTTGTGAGATGGGAACAGTGACTTCTTCGCTTGTAAGAGGAGCAGATGGGGCTGGTGGAGAATCTTCCAGAATGTGCTTCCACTGTGCACACCACCAGCCCTCTCCACTCCCCTGACGCAGGAACAGAGGCTCTGGGATGGCTGGGGGTGGGGGTGGGGGCGGGGGGGTAGGCACAGGGAGCAGATCCCCGGAGGGCCTGCGAGGTTCTCCCACAGGCCATGCTGTTGACTTGTGTTTTTTAACCTAGTCCAAATCATGAACGTCCCCGTTGGTGAGTCAGCAGATTGCACGTAGAAGCATTTGTCCCGTGGGCTTCTCCCTCTGTGTGATTCATGTCCCTGCTTCCTGCTTGGGGACTGCGGTGAGCTCCCGGCGGGTGTGGCGGGGACTTGCGTGCTGACCTGACACGTGTCTGCCTAGATCTGCAGCCTCATGCGAGGGGGCATCGCAGAGCGAGGAGGCGTCCGAGTCGGCCACCGCATCATTGAGATCAACGGGCAGAGTGTGGTGGCCACGGCCCATGAGAAGATAGTCCAGGCTCTTTCTAACTCGGTCGGAGAGGTAAGGCCGCGGCCCGTCGTCACCCTGCTGGAGTCCGACCCGGAGTCTAGGGCCCTCTGAGCCCTACATTTCCGTGCCCAACATCCGTGCCCCTGAGGGGGCTTCTAGGAGGTGCTCGGGAAAGCCACCGGCCCCTTCCCAGAAAAACCTTTCTTCTCGGGAGAGCCCGCCCTTGCTGGGACCTTGGAGCATGCCTGTGCTGGTCATGTGCTCCCACCTTGACCTCGGCCCTTCACTCCCTCTCCAAGGGGCGCTGGGCATCAGCCGAGCCGGCGGGGCTGTGTCTCTCGCCCAGGGAGTGCCGGGGACAAGGATGAGCAGAGCGGCGGGCGGCCTTTGCCTGTTCACTCGGGCTCTGTGCGGCAGACAGGAGGGCGAAGGTGGTGGCCACCGTTTCTGGAACTGGGTCTTGCGTGCTCCTTGTGGCAGCCCTGCCCGCTGCAGGCCTCACCCCCCAGGGCACAAGGCTCTGGGCTGGGGTTTGCCCCTCTGCCTGCTTCCTGCCATCTTCCTGCCCACGGAGCTGCTTCACCCTTTCCTGCACCGCTGGCTTTAAACTTCCTCCTTTTCTAGTTCTTTCTGGCATCCCTGCGATGCCAGCTTGAGGTGGACAAGGGTCAGAGCGGGGGGGGGCACAGGTTTCCCCAAGGAACTCACAAGTGAACAGGGTCATTCGGGGTAAGAAGTAAGGTGCTCAGAGTCTGTGGAACCGGGGTCCGGAAGGAGGCCTCCCCCAGCGCCAATGTGTGTGGGTGTTAGCCGCAGTGGGGGCGTGTGAAGGGGGAGTCAGAACGAATGGGGTGAGGGTCCCCCCGGGACAAGTGCGGGAGGCTGAGGCCACTGTAGAGGTGTGTCGGCCGAGGGGCCAGTTGCAAAGGGCATGGGTGCCCGGTGTGGGGGGAGTCCCCATTTGATTCTCGGGGCTGTGGAGGGCCCCGGGGGGCTGAGCAGGGCAGTGGCAGGCTCAGGCTCTGTGGCAGTGGGAGAGAGGGTGTGGCTTCCATCTTGTAACCACTGCGGGTGAGCTTGGCCCCTCGGTGAGTGGGTGGGTGCTGTTTCCCAGGCGGCTTCTGGCCACATTTGCTGGGGGCCTACTCTGTGTTTTGTGAAACTGCCAGGCTGGGGGAGGAGGCCTGTTTTTCTGGAGATTGGTGGTGGCAGATGACTGGCTTTCAAGAGAGAAGAGGGGGGCCAGGTAGGTGCCATTAGCCTCCTTTTACAAATGGCTTCAAAGAAAGGAAAATCCAATTTTCCTAAGTGGATGTTTGAAACGGCAACCCCACTGGGGTGATCAGCCTCACACCTACAAAGAAACCAATCAGGTGGAGGAGAAATGTTTCCAAGTCTTCAGACCTGAGACGAATTGGTACTCGAAGAGACACAGAGGCAGCCGAGGGTGTGGCTGGGGGATGGAAGTGTCTGCCTGCCGTCTTCCAGCATCCCTGAGCTCATGTGGGAAATCAGTCCCTGGTAGCAAGATGTGAGGTTTGGGTGGGTTTCAGATTGAGGAATGACACAGAATGTTCTCCTGATGGAAGAAGCCATGCTTCTTCACCATGGATGATGGTGGCATTAAAATCTTAAATTGATCACGTAGATCCTGGTGGGGGGGGGGCGAGCCGGGAGCATGTGACACTGTGAAAACCATCTGCACGATTGGCCCCTCTATGGGTTGGTCAGACGGGGGCCTGAGACCTGCTTGCTGGAGGAGGGGCGGCCACACCATGCCCCCCACCACCGCCTCTTCCTGGGCACCGGGAGGGTGAGGCCTGCCGCACGCATGCCATCCAGACCTCCCAGAGCCACAAGGCCTGAGCCTGACATAGTCCTGGGAGCAGGGTACTAAGAGGAGATCAGAGCAGCAGAAGCAGAGCGCAGCTCCTGTGCTTCCACTGGTTTAACTCTTCCTCCCAGAGCCCTCACGGGGTGGGGAGGGGGGGTGGGAGGCGCACAAGGTCACTCTCCCTGGGGAGCCATCTTGAGCCTCACTGCTTATGTACCCAGCCCCTTGGAGCCAGAGAGTGAGGCCAGGCTCCGAAGGCTCATTTGCTGACCCCCAAAGAATGGGGGGGGCAAGTTCTCGGACCCCAGAACACTCACGTTCCCTGGCTTCCTGGGAAGGGTTTCAGAGGCTTAGGCACCCTCAGCCTGCTCCCAGATGAGTGGGCAAACCGTAGTCACAATTAAAAGTCTGTTTTTATGCCCCTCTGCTGTCAGCTTGAGCTGAGGGGAAACTAGCGCTTGAACGTGTGTGCAAAACCCTCTGGAGAGCCGGTTGGAGAGGCCAGCTAGGAGTCTGCCGTGCCAGGAAATGCTTTCTAAACCTCCATCGAGGTGGTCATTCCTCCCTTACTGGGCAGAAAACCCTCAGGGGGTCCCGAAGCGAGCTGGCTGCGGGAGTGTTGGATTTGCGTTGGTGGCATCAAGGGGCCATGGGAGGCCAGCGTGGGAGAGCCGGTTCAGCCCCTGTCTCTCGTTGACAGATCCACATGAAGACCATGCCTGCTGCCATGTTCAGGCTCCTCACGGGCCAGGAGACCCCGCTGTACATCTAGGCCCACCCAGCCTGCACCGCCCAGCCTGCCTGGGTTCAGAGGAGCCCGAAAGGCTGGACCCAGGATCTGACCCCTGACCCCACAGCCCGCCCAAGGACACTGGCTCCTCCGAAGGGTGTGCCCTCACCACCCACTTTTTTTTTTTTTGGACAAAAAGGGGGGATGTTTTCATCAAAGGAGAGTCACAGGAAGCATCTCTGTAGAACAGTCACGTGTTTTGCCCATTTTGACCCGTCTTCTCGTTGCGACGGACAAGGCTGTTTCTCTGTAGCTGTGTGGTGTGGAGTGTGTCTTTCCTCCCTGAAGCCGTGGAGAGCGGACGTGAAGGGAGCCCCGCCAGGACAGCAAGCTCCTTCCCGGGACGCGGGGCCCTCGGGGTGCTTCGGGGGAGGGCGATCGCGCTGCTGCAGCTGCCCGGATCCCGGGGTGTGACTTGTAAGTGAAGTCCGGGAACATGTGATTGTACTGAACCAGAAGGGAGACGGTCCTGAGTTAAATAAAAGATGATGGCCACAACATGGAAACTCCATATTTATTTAGACACTATCACGGTTTTGACTTTTACTTTGACAAGCCATTCTTTAGACTTTAGGATTTCCGGGTGACCGCGCACCTACCGCTCCTGTCCTCACCCGAGACTCGGAGGTTCCGCGGACTTGCGTGGGCACGCCCCCTGCTGGCCGTCTCTCCCCGCCCCTTGGGGGCGGGGCCCGCTGGCTCCTCCTCCCAGGGACACGGGGCGCAGCAGCGGCCGTCTGTTTCCAGCCTCTATACACACACACACACACACGCACACACACACACACGAGCTCCCCCACCCCCCAAACGCCGAACCCACCCTGGCAGACTCTGCCACTCCCGGGGCCGCTGGTGGCGAGAGCAGGTCACTGGACGAGCCGGGCGTCGCCGCGAGCAGTATTCGAGCGTGTGTAGATAAAGTGAAACGTAGTCTCTTTCGGTTCATTAGAGGTCATTGTTAACTGACGTCCTTTTGTCTGGAAGTCTCTTTTTTTGGCCCCGGCCTTGAAGAATACACTGTGACTTAAGAAGCCTTACCATGCAGTAACTAAAGCTTTAGGATTACTGTATTCAAGGAGTGACCTGTGTGTTGCATGCAGCCGACCTTAGGAAGACTCGCTAATAGCACTAATAAAGCTGAAGTCCTGACGAAAAGCGGTTTGTGTGGCTGGTTTGTTAGCGGAGGAATGGATGCCCGACTTCCCTCCACCTCGAGGCCTTACACGTGCCTCTGCAATGGTGCTGTGTTTGCTGAGAGCATCCCCTTCGGGTCTGGGGCCTTGGGGGGGGCTCTTCCCGGGGAGGTCGGAGGGGTGGGTGCTCCAGCACCCGGTGTGAGGCCCGCACCCCCGCCCCCCCCAGTCCCAAGGAGGAGACAGGCTGCTAACTGAATAAGGGAGAGAAGGAGCCTTGCCATTCTCCTAGTTTAAATTTCGGTGATTCCAGGAGAGGTGAGTTATATGCGTGTGTATCTGTAAAACAGAGCTGGACCATCCATCCCAGTGGCGTCTGCTTACCTGGAGGGTCCTTTGTGGCCTGTCACCTGGCGTAGGGAGGTGGGGTGAATGTGGGCTTTGATCAGAAGGCCGGGGATGGGGTTTGCCCCCCCACACCCCCCCCCCCGCCTTGGTCCGGGGAGCTTAGCCTGGTAGGACCCACCTCTGGTCTGCCCACAATCCATCTGCGCTCCAAGCTATGAGCTACTGACAAGGCCCTTCACAGCTAGCCCGAGATGGCCCACACCCTTGGGTGACGAGAGGGAATGTCACCTGAATACAAGCTGGAGGGAAAGGGCGAAAGCTCCAGAGAGCCAAGGGGTATGTCCCTGCATTGCCCAAGACAGGGCAGGTGAACAGGCTCCGGAGACAAAAGCCATGGCTAGCAAATGACACGGGGTGCCGAATGATTCACAGAAAAAATCCAAATGAAAGACCGCTCTGAGCCAGTGGCCTGCATTCCTCCAGGAAGCCTCGGATGTCACATGCTTGGAGGGGGGCAGCTGTGGGCCAGCCCTGGCGGGCACCCGCCCTCTACCTCCCAGCCCACAGGCCCTGCCCTTTTCTGGAACGATGTTCGGAGACACGGCTGGCCAGCCGCAGGTGCTTCACACTCCCTGGCGGCCGCCTGAGACCCTGGTCTTCAGAGGCACACACGGGCTCTCTGCCTCTCTGTCCCAATTAGACCCGGAGACACAGAGGCCAGAAATAGTTTTTATTAAAACATGGATCATTATGAAAACACCTTGAGGTACATTAAATAAATACAACCTTCAAGTTGTACAAACAGGTCTCCTGTGGCTTGAAAACAATTTCCTATAAATTCTGCCTAATAGCAGCATCTGTGAATCAATACAGCTGAGGGCGGGGGGAAACATCCATTTGAAAGCAGCTTTCTGTTACATGGTTTGTTACAAGCATTCAAGCTGCGTTGTTGTCACCAGCTGAAGGAGACCTTGTGAAGGATGAGTCCCCCGCTTGTTTGCCATAGAGAAGGGGTCCAGAGCTCACCCACCTCAGCGTTCTTTTGCCCCCCATGCAACTGGCAGTGTCTGGACAGGCTCTGGCCCCCACGCCGAGCTGACCCCATTTGGGTTGTGGGGAAAAGGCAGGGAGAGTGCCCAGGACCCAGGCGTGTGCAGGTGGGGGGAGGGTCCCCTGCAGGTGGGGGTCCCGTGCCTTAGCTTCCTGGGGCAGCCTGCGAGGCTCTGCCCTGCCTGCTGATGCTTTATCGGGAGGAGAGCAGGGAGGCGGTGCACCAGCAAGAGGAACCACATGGTCTGGGCTTGGGGTGCTTGCTGCTGGGCACCTGGCTCCCAGACGCTGCTGGGCAGAGCAGGGTCTCGGGTACTAGAGCTGGCTTGTTCCTAGCGGCTCTAACTGGCACTTCTCTCCTCCCGGGACCTTTCCCGGAAGCCGGGACCCTGGGCCCTGCTGGAGCCCACATGGGCCACCGGGGGCCCCGAGCAGATGGGCAGAACGTTCTAGCTCAGTGGTATAAAACTGGGTACAGTCTCCTCACCTGCAAGATAGAGTTGCTCTGAGAGCAAATGCACAACTGAGCGTGGAAAGTGCGTGAAGGGCAGGGCTCTTGAGAACATCCAGGACTCTGGGCTTCGGTCAGAGCACCCGCTTGTACCCAGGTGGAGGCCCAGGCTGCCGCAGGAGCCCACGATGGCAGAAGAAACACTGTCCCGCTGCAGGGAGGAGAAGTGAAGGGCACAGAGTGCCAGGGCGGGCTCCCAGTGGCCGCTGTCCCTGGCTGCACAATAAAAATACTGATGGCCGAGCTCTACCCCAGAGCTGCGAGTGCAAGGGTAAGGGGCAGGCCTCACTCAAATTGCAGCCACGTCGGAGAGTGCAGGCTTAGCTCCGGGGCTCGGCCCAAGGACACTGCTATGTGCGCCCCCAAGCCCGAGTGTGGGCCCCCCACATGCAGGCGAAAACCCCCCGCAGCTTGCTAAGCTCTGGTTCCCACCCCAGGGACACCGAAAATGCCCGGATTCAGAAGCCATGAATGCTGTGCTGATGGGCTCAGGGGAGGCTGCTTGGAAAAACCATCAATTAACTGTACCAGCGAAGGGATTTGCTTTGGGCACGGGGAGGGATTTCAAAAGCCCTCGGCTGAGAAAAATGAGACAAGAGATTTCCCATTTTGTAGTCTGGATAAAGTGCTCATAATTCATCTCTGGGATTCTCCCGTGGAAAAGTTCTGGTTGGCATCAGAAGGCCTGATGGGTATTCTTCCAGTTCTGTCACCTCAGCCAGAGGCGAGGAGGCAATGACCAAGAACATTTACCGAAGCCAAGTGTTCAAAGCTGACCGTCACTGCAGGCTCCCCGCACCTCCGTTGCTGGGGGCTCCAGGCGTCCGGACCGCAGACCCTCCCCACCAGCCCTTTCCCAGTGCCAACGACATGACGTCCCCAGCACGTTGGCTACGGTGGGGCGCAGAGCAGAGGGCAGGGCAGCCCACAGCCCCTAGACGCTGGACGCCAAGCAAGAGTGGGCAGCGGTCGGCTCCCTCCTCGTGCTCCCCATGCCAGGCCCCTGGGCTCTCGGTTGACAGCTGTGGGTTCTGGGCTGCCTTGTTCAAGGCAGGGCCACGGCACGGGCGCTGGTGGCCACTGCTGTGGATGGCAGAAGGACAGGCGTTCCCACGGCTGCAGAAAGTTCTGGAGGACCGTGCTGCTCCAGGGCCGTTGTGGGAAGTGGCTGGTGTTAATGTTGCCAGAACATGAGGGCCGGTGGGGAGGGGGTGGGGGGCCCAAGAAAGGCAAAGGCCCAAGCTGCCGCTGCAGGGAGGCGGGGCTGGCCTGCTTCCACGTACCCAGCTCGGCGGGTGCTGTGTGGAAAGATGCTTTACAACCTGCGTCTTCTGCTGCCTGGCTGGGAAGCGGATGCTCTGGGTCATCAGAGACCTGCTTTCTGAGGAGGCGCACAGATCCTGGGGTATGGGCCTCTTCCCCCAGACCTCCACCCGTCCAGGCCGTCCTGGGGAGGGCAGACGCAGGGAAAACCCCCCAAAAAGGCTCCCCAAGAGTGTCTGCAGAGGAGGAGACAGCCAGAGAGACAGTGGGGAGGGTACCCCATGGAGAGGTGGTGGGGAGGGGAGGCCCAAGGGACCAGGGGACCTGGGTGGGGTGGGGGTGTCCAGCAAAGCTCCCTGCCACACCAGCTTGCTTCCCGGAGGCGGCCAGGCCACGCTGAGGTCTCCTAATGTGATTCGTAGGCACGACAGCCCTGCATCCTGCGGGCGGAGAGCTGGGCCCGGGCTGTCCTTCGTGCCAGAATTATCCATTTTCTTTCCAGGCAGCACACGATAAAGGGTAGATTATTGAGTGATACAAACCATAGAAGAAAATGGTCTCATATTACTCGATATCCTCTTCTATCCACTAAACACTCAACTGAATTGCAGGTGGGGGACAGTCTTGCTTTTTGACGGCCCTGATTTTGAAGATACTTAGCGTCTCTAGCGTCACCTGCCACTGTGTTTCCAGAACGCTGGGTAGGTGCTACGTGCCTGACAAAGCGGAAGAGTTCGCGGTGGCCACAAGAGTCATTTTTCTGTATTAGCGGAATAGGTAGGAAGTGTCATCCCCAAGACAACTGACCGGATCCTCCTGAAGAGAGGGACGGCAGCTCACGGCCTGGGCCACCCTGAGATCTGGGCCGCAGGCCCCTCCCCGCCAGCACAGTGGCCTCCAGCAAGGACGCGTGGGCCCAGGCCCATCCGGGTCAGGACCCGTGGCCTGGTCACACCTGGTCCCGAACGCCGGCGCTGAACACGGCCTCCTCCCCGTGGGGCTCCTCAGGGGGGCCGGCCGGGTGGAAGGTGCCCACCACGTGCCGCACCTCGGGAGGGAGGGCACAGTTCGAGCGTTCCAGAAACTTAGCCACCAACACCCTGGCGTCTGTGTGGCCCTTGCTGTCCACTAGAGAGTGTGGCCGCTCTTTGCAGACCGTCTGTAAGGTCTCTGGCTTTCCCCGCGGGTCGCCTTTCCGGGGATCCGGTGGCCCAGGGGGTGAGAGCGGGCGCCGACCTGCACAGGCAGCCGCGACAGAGTGAGCTCGGGAAACTAAAAATCAAGGGAAAAGATAACATCTGAAAACAACCAAAACAAGACAAAAAGCAGCCGTTAAGTGAGTTCTTGACAAAGCAAACGCAAGCCTGCTTGGGACACACTTTCGGCTGGCATTTCCACGTCCCTGGGCTGGTGCGCTGGGCGTGTCCCTGCTTCCTGGGTCCCTTCATCCCCAGTGTGGCCTGCCCCTGTCAGCCCTGAGTTGAGCTGGGGTTATAACCTAGAGGGACCACAGCCCCCCGGCGCTGAAGGGCTGGAGATCCGAGGGCAAAATGCGAAGCAGGTGGGGCAAGAGGGGCAGGTGCAGGTGGGGATCCCCCTTGCCTTCGTCTCTCCGCTGGGGGGGGGCTTCTCGGCCTTGCTTGGCTCAGTGACCGTTGCCCTTGTGGGTCTGATGGCATCTAGAGATGGGTCTGCCTGAAGGCCATAGCTGGGGGTGACAGAGGGGCAATGAGGGCACCCCCCACCACATGCAGGGCTGACAGCAGCCACTGCTCACTGGCACCAGAGCTCAGAGCACCCGGGGCCCTGCAGGCCAAGGCCAGGGGCACCGGCTCCCAACAGGGCCCACGGCTGCTCCGGATGACCCGAGGCACAAGCCATGGTCTGACGGTGCCGTCTCCCCTGGGACCAGATTAGGGCCTGACTTGCCCACAGCGCGTTTCCCGGTGGCCTGGCATCGTTCTGGGGGCAGTGGGGCAAGGCTGACAATTCAGCACGAGGAACTGTAAGAACCTCACACGCGAGGCCCATCTCCCCCCCCCCCCCACAGAGCATCTCAGAAATTTGGTGAAACAAGCAGCCCCGAGCCTGTTACAGCCGCTGTTGCCTCTCACGTGTTCCCCAGAGCCAGAAGGGAAGGCAAGGCCGTTCTCTGAAAGCCCGCAGAGCTGGGGAGCCCATGCTCCTGGCTGATACCCCGAGGCAGCCAAGGAGCACGAGTCACCCCCCTCCCCCCGCCCCCGTCTCGCAGCAGGTGTCAAAGTGCTTCAGAAAAGGAGTGTCTCACCGGTCCCCAGAGCAGCCCCGGACAGTCCTGCTTCCAGGTCCTGGCTGCAGGACGGGGTGTGTGACGAGGCATGGCCTTAATCAGAGAGAGAATCCAGTTAACAGGCGGCAGGGAAAACGGAGCTCCTGACGACAAGATCATCACCCTCCCGTGGCCGAGAACTATCTTTTTGATGCGGTGGACCCGCAGGGGGAGGCTCCTGCACTCACCCCGAGCCGAGCCGTGCGCCGTCCCACAGGGCAGTCCCAGAGCTGGCGCCCCCCACGGGGCAGGCGGCATCCCCGGGCTGGGCACAGCGCGGCGGGCCAGCGCCCCAAGCAACCCCAGTGCCCTTGGAATGCCCATCCGCCCCGAGGGTCCCCAGAGACCCCCGGGGAGGCACATGCGGGACAGTAACTGCCTCGTCTAGCTGAGGAGAGGCTGTGCCCACGGCGTGGTGCAGGGACGCAGAGAAGGCCCTGTGACAACCTGTAATCAAACCGCCGCTTCTCCTCATCCCCACCCCCAAAATGTCACGGTTTGCAGAGCCCGACTTTCCCTACAGGGGGCAGAGGAGGCCATCAGGGGCCACAGAGCAGACACGCCCGGTGCATGGGATCGTCCCCCGGACTTGAACGGGTAATAGCCCTCACGGGGAGGACAGAAGGGCTGAGTGTGGAATCCTCCAGCACAGGCGGGGGGGCGGGGGTGCAGAGGAGGGTCTGAGGGAGTCCTGTCTAGTGAGCTGGCAGCTGGACGTGGGAGGGGAGGGCGGCGGGACAGAGGGATGCAGGCCAAGGAGCCTGCAGGGCCAAATCTGGCTTTTCCACCAGGAGGGCCCTTGTAGGCAATGACCTTGGCGGCTTCCTGGTTCTTTCCCGGGATACAGTTCTCCTGGGGCACGGATCCTGTGTATTTGGGGTTCAGCCAGACAAGACCACTGAGTCCAGGCCCCCAGCGGGCCTCTTCCGGGCTCTTTGGGTTCCACTGTAGGAAGTCTACACTCTGATGGCCCTGCAGGCCTAAGTCCCACCCGACCTTACAGGCAAAGACACTGCCATCCTCCCCCCTCGAAACCAGCACCGGCTTCAGGGCACACAAGGCCCCCTGGGGGGCTGGCGTGAAGGGCAAGTCCCGGGCTGCTGGGCACAGCGACTCTGACACCAGGCCCGACAGCCCAGGGAGGGCGCCGCCCCCTCCGAGTCACGTGCGGCGATTGGGACCCAAGCTCCAGGCCACACAGGGAGGGCTGCCAAGGGGGCCCGCGAGGTGCTGCTGGAAACACACCTGGGTCTAACTGGGGCGCCTCGGCTGGAGGACACCCCGCCAGCCCAGCGCTGCCACTGAGGCACAGCCATGCCTTATGTGGCCCTGGGTCCCAGCAGGCCACGAAGCAGGCACCAGCACTTCCCCCAAGTGTGCAGCCCACGCTAGTCCTGGGGAGAGAGCCACCCGCCCGACCTGAGTCCCCACGTGGGCCCCAGAGCTGGTGTGCCACTGGCAGGCTGATGTCAGGGGCTAGCCGACCCCGGGTGGGCTCTCATCACCCCAAACCTTCCATCCCTCCTCCCCGTACTCCCCAGCCAGAAAGTAGGAAGCCTGGTGGGTGCTCAGCAGAGGCCCCTGGCTGTCCACCCCTCCCTAGGGCCCTCGGGCATGAAGGCCACATTCCCAAAGTGGCCCCTGAGCACAGTCCCAAGTGTCCAGGGCAGAGCAGGGCACATGCAGAGGACACAGCGGGGCTGGACCAGTCATACCTGCTACACTGGATGAGCAAGAAGTGGGGTCGCTGGTGGAGCGGGCCACACGCCTGGGCCCTGGCACCACCCATGTGCCCTGGTCAGGGCCCTCCGGGGACTCGAGGCCAGGTGGCAGGGGCTGCGAGGCACCCACGGGGCCTTCGGGGCTCAGGCCTGGCGCAGTGGCACCCTCGGATGCCAGGAGGCTTGAACCATCTGCGGGCTCTGCAAGGCAAGGGACACAGTCTTAGCACTGGGGCTGGGCCACCACAGAGCCACCCGAGACGGGCCCGGTGCCTGCCTGAGAGTGAGTCTCAGCCTCCTGGAGCCCTCCCAGGGGGCCCGAGCCGTCTGCCCTTCAACACCCAGTCTAGACCAACCTGTAATCCTGAGGGCGTGGAAACATGGAGCATGCTTTATGGTGTAGGAAGGTTTGGGTGGACGCCAGATGATCTCCCAAGAATCATTCCAGGGGGCGTATGGGGTGCGGGGCACTTACACTCTTCACAATCCATGAGAGATTAAAAGTCAGCACCCAGCCCCATCTCCCATCCAGGGCAGGCCTTGGGGGGGGTTGACGTCCAGGAAGGGGGAGGTCACAGGATGCTCGATGCCCACACAGCACACAGCCCGTGCAGAGAAGGGTGGGGCTCAGAGGGGCGCTAGGGCATCCTAGCCGGGGCCTCCTGGGCCCGAGAACCTGCCTGCCGCACACAGAGGGTATGGCCCAGGGCCTGGAGTGCAAGCCTTGCCCTGGTCAAGCAGGGGCGGGAGCCCGCCCGGGAGGCCTGCCTGGTTCTCCAAGCGTGGGCCAGGCCGTCAGCATCAGCACGGCCCGGGGAACGTGTAGGCGTTCAGCCCCACTGCACCCGAAACTCGGGGGTGGGAACGAGCCCCCAGGAGATTCTGCTCCCCCCCACCCCAAGTGTACGACCCACTGCTCTATCCCTGTGATGCTGGTCAGGTCGGGCTCCAGCCCCTCACCACTCCAAGGCTGGTCCCCTGGGGGGACGGGATCAGAATCTGTCTTAACAAGATCGCAGGGGATCTGTGTGCACAGTATTAAGGCTCAAGAACCAGTGCTCCCTCCGCTCTTTTATCCCATTACCAGACAAGGTCAGAGCTGCCTTCCATGAGGCTCCTCACCCATCAGGGGCAGATTTTTGAGGCGAAAGGCTCACCCTTTGTAAGAACCACAGCAGCCTGAACAACTCCGGGTGGGAAGCTTTGGGGTCTGTCCCTTCCATCCCTTTCCGTGGATACTGTGGGAGGCCTCTCTGCTTCCCTCGTATCTGTGTGCTTGCCCTACACCGAGGGCTTTACCGGTGACCTCCCACTTAATCCTCTCCGCTCTCCCAGGCTACCACTCAGGAAACACGGCTGAGAGGCCTCAGGGGAAGAGGAGCTCGAGGCCACAGAGTGGTGGAGCCGGGTGGAAGCAGCCCACTTCTAGAGCACTCCGGCTTCAGCAGCCCTCCACTATCACCCCTGCCCTCTCCACAGATACCATGAGACATTTAGCAGTCCATCTGGATGAACCGAACCTCACCAATCACAGCAAAAGAAAAAAAAAAAATTCAGGATGATTGATCTTTTTTTTTCCTTTTTTTTTTAGAGAGCGGGGAGGTAGGGGGAGGTAGGGGGAGGTAGGGAGAGGGGCAGAGGGAGAGGGAGAGAGAGAATCCTAGTTAGGCTGCACACTCAGTGCACAGCCCAACTCGGGGCTCGATCTCCCAACCCTGAGATCATGATCTGAGCTGAAATCAAGAGTCCCAGGAGCCCCAATCCTTTTCTTTTTTAAGATACTGGAAGAACAGGTGTAGAAAATAGAATAAATCTACAACTTTGGAGTGAAGAAAGACTTTGTAAACATGATAGACACCAGAGAGGAAAAGCTTGATAAATCTGACAATAAGAAAAATCGTAAAAAACAAAAACAAACAAAAAAACACAAATTGTAAAAATTGTATGGCAAAGGCATTATTAACAGGAAGGAAGCCGAGCACAAACTGGGAAGGCGTCCCTGCAGTGAACAGAAAAGGGAGAAAATGTATCTATTTAACAAATATTTTTCTTATAAATTCACACACACAAAAAAACACCCCACAAAACACTGCAAAAATGTGGGCCCCAAACTGACCTACAGGTAGGTAATAAACATGTAAAAAGGTGCTCACACTCTATCTTGTGTATTGTTCACCTGCAGGGGTGATAAAGATCATCAGGAACAATGATGTCTTGGGGTGTCATAAACACCGTTGGTGGGTACGGACACTAGCAATAAAACCCTTCCAGAACGCCATGTGGCCAACACGCCAAAACCTAAGATACCCATTTCCTTGGACTCTGCAATTTCACCCATAGGAACTGATTCTAAGGGAATGATTGGGCAAGCACTCAAAGCTGAATGCATCCATGTAGAAAAGAAACACTTCCCTGTATCCTTAGAAAACCTCAAACCAGCAAGTGGAATTACTACCTGTATCAAAATCACACAGCGGCATATTAAAATTATTCTGAATCCTATTCATCCCTGCTGATTCCTCTTGATCTCCGTTTTCTCTCTTTTTTACAGCTTTATTGCAGTATAACTGATACACAAAACCCCGCACATTTTTAATATGTACCATTTGATGAGATTGGACATAAGCATATATCCTTAATCCCAATTTGCTTAATGTCAGTGATAATCCAATGGCTGAGTTCCTCAGGGAAACAGAGTCACAGAGAGAGAAATGTGACTTAGTTCCAAATAGCTATCATTAACGGAAGCTTATATAATTAGGGTAACACAACAGGGAAAGCTCATAGGCCAAGACATTCTTGTACCCCCTCACCGGCTTTTGTTGTCTGTTTACACAGCACTGATCATCCTAGTGGACTTCCTCCGGCTTTTCACCTAACGATCACAAGCATTTTTCCTAATCAATGTAAAATGACATATTTAGCATATGTATCATATTTTCCTTGACTCTTATCAATGGACATCATTGTCCCTGTAAGTTTTTACTCTTATGAAAAATGCAAGTTATCTTTATGCCTACGGTTTTTTCTTTTTTCTTTTTTTTGCATTACCCCCCTAGGGCAGTTCCAGAAGTATGATCACCACATCTAACAGCATAAACATTTTTTATGGCTCTTTATCAAGATGCTTTGCCAAAGGGGTGTGTTGATTTACAAGCCGCCAGTCAGGTCTGGGTGTAGGGCCTTTCCTCTGGCCTTGCCAGCCTTCATGTCCTCATTACTATTTTATTTCAGTAAGTGAAAAACAATACCAGCATCTATCCCCTTCCGGGCACCCCCCTCCCAATTCTAGAGCTCATACATGAGTCTGACAAGGTTGCAGGATACCAGATCACCCCGTACCACCGTCGGTCACGTGTACTAACGAGTGTGCAGAAACCCAAAGTAAAAACAACGCCACTTACAGCTGCTCCAAAGAAAACGAAGCTCCCAAGTGTACACCTAACAAAACATGTTCAGGATCTGTATTCTGAAAATGACAAAATGCTGAGGAAAGAAGTCAAAGAAGATCCAAATCCACGGGGAGACAGACCCTCTGCAGGCTTAATGCCACTCCTGCTAAATTCCCAGCTCGAGTATTTGTGGGCACAGACAAGTGGGTTCTAAAAGGGATATGGAAACACACAGGCCATAGATGACCTAGAACAATCCTGATGAAGAGGAGCAGAGGGGAGGTGTGGCTTGCTGATGGGAAGGCTCAGCGCCGAGCAACCGGTCATCAGCGCAGAGGGACTGACACGCAGACGAATGCCACGGAATACGGGGCCCAAAACTACCCCCACGCCATTATGCCCAGCTGACTTTTGTCAAAGGTACACAAGCAACAAACGGTCTGGAGCAGTTGGATATGCATAGACCAAAAAAATGACAGGGACCTCAACCTCACTCCATCCAGAAATTACCTGGTGGGAGGCATCTTTTCTGAAGTGAAACCTGCTTGGCCTGCTGTCCCATGAGTGTGTCTGTCCGTTCCTCTCCATATAATCCTGCCCACTTCCAGCCTGGCCCCTCTACCCAGAGTCGGTGCTGGAAGCAGCCCTGAGCTTCCCAGTCGAGCCCAGTTAATTGCCCGGATCCTGGGCAGTGAGGAAGGCCCCGCCCACCTGCAAGAATTCCTGACTCCCCTGTCCATCTCTACCTGCCCTGGGCTCTGGGAGCCACCAGGCTGCTTGGCCTTGCCGACCATGCTTTCCTCCAGAACGTGCGTTTTTGGGAGTGATGTGGCTGGCACGGGGAAAGGAAGCCCCATCGGCGCAAAGTCTATCATGCACTGGGTGGGTGTGGTCACCTGTGGTGGGGGACCGAGACACGCTGTGCCCTGCAGCAGTCTCTGGGAAGGCCACAGGATACCACAGCTTTTGATGGCTGCTAGGAGCCACCAAGTGAAGGACAAAGTCACTTCCAAATCCTAGAACGGCAGAGCCCAGACTCCTACAACCCAAAGGCGTCCTCGTAGGATGGCCCCTTCTTATTTCTTAGATGTTAACTAGAGTTGGGGTTGAGCCCTGGGACTGTAATGGTGGTCCTTTCTGGGACCCTTAGTTATCTCACAAGTTAGCTGACTTCCATCTCTGAATAAGCCCACCCACCTGAGTCCACCCAGGGACCCAGCCCCTACCCATTTGCTCCCTCTGTGACTAGGCGTTGTCTGCTTTCCTGACACCTCAGACGACCTCCCCACCTCTGGCTTCGTACAGCGGCTCCCACCTCACATCTGAGAGGAGACCTTCCACATTTTTCCTTCAATGTCCACCAGGATACAACTTCCAGCATCCTTCCCCCGGCCTCTCCCCCCAAATCCAGTGGGCAAAGGGGCCCGGCCTGGCTCCCTCCTGAGGCAGAAGCCCAGTGGACATGAACCTGCTACAGTTTTAGCTCCAGAAAGGGTCCATCCCAGATGGAGTCAAGCGTGTCTTCAAACCCATACCCCTCAAGTGGAGAAGAAAGGGCGCTGGGGGAGAGGGGGCAAGCCCGCCCGAGAGAAAGCATGAGGCCCCCCAGGTGTACTGACTTACTTGTTACTACATGCCCCTAAGGGAGGAACTCTGGAGAACGTCTATGGTACTGAACAGCAAAGGCTATAGCAAATTCCATCCCCTTAAAGAGCAAGCAATGGAGGGAGGGCAAGGAGCAGGGAGGAGGAGAGAAGGAAATAGGAGAGGAAAGGGGACATGCTTTGGAAAACACAGACTTATTTCAAATGCTGAATGGGGTAAGATTACCTTGTGTGCCGAAGCCAGCCGTGGCATCTGGGTCCCTGGGGCTGGACTCGGTCGCCTGCTGATCCACACTCGTAAGCTACGGCAAGAAACGAGGCATCGGATGGGTCATCTGTAGTTTGGAGGGGACATCACAACAGGCTCCAGAAATCAAGGCTGATGTCAGAGCTCATCTTCTAGGAAGACATGTATGTACATTTCTGCTTTTCTCCTCTAAATTTATGGGGTCAGGCTGTGAGGATGCCAAGGCCAAAGGATCACTGCCAAGGCCTAAGCCCGTCTCTCTGACCTTCTGAAAGCAGAGTGCCCAGCACTCCCCAAGAGCCCACCAGGGCCAGGTGCCAGCGACCCCGAACCCACTCACCTTCCACTTCCGGGGGCACTGCTGGGGACCAACAAAGGCCACACAGACTCCTCCAGAGTCACTGTAGGAGGTAGGACAGCCCCTGGCCTCGCTTCCAACGCCCTCCTCCCAACTGCTCTCTTCCCTGTTTCCACAGCAGGAAGAATAAAGCCACACGGGACAGACAGTCATGAGACCTGTAATGCTTTGGGCCCGCACAGCTTGCACACAGGGTGGATGTTTAAGAAACAATCTTGGCCTCCGTGAGCTCCCAGACTCCCCCAGAGCATGCATTTGCTCCTCTTCCCTTTTGCCTTCTGCAGATGGAAGCAAGAGGTTGCTCCCAAGGCTGACCTCCCTGCCTGAGCTCGGGCTCAGGGTCCATGTCCACTCAGGCCATGTGCTCGGTTGAACGTGGGCCCCATGACTCCGGGTACACTGTCCCGTCCTGGTGCAGGGGGTAGCCGTGACGATTGCATCGTGTTTGGAAGTCAGCATGCTCTTGCAGATTTCTTCTTGAATGGATCATTCTGCCCAGAGAGGCCTTTGGGAACATGGGGGCAGCGGGGGGTGGGGAGTGATAAGACCAGACCTCCTCTGCTGGGCAGGGATGGGGCGCCTCTGCTCTCCTGCCCTGTCTCCCCCTCCCATCCTCTGCTTGCACACTCGGTTCCACCCCGGGTGACCACATCTGCTCCATTGCTCCTTTTAGGGGACAATGGCCCCACACGGGCCATGTGCCTGAATGTCATGAACACCGTACATGTGTGCCCCTGTGCTGACTCAAAAAACGATTTTTGAGTCCTTGTGTCATTTCAGAATTGCTTTGGGGACCTGCTCGCAAATAATGAGCTCTGGGGGAGGGCCGGGAAGCTGAGGCGGGCCCCTGCAGCTCGGTTCGATTCCAGCTCAGGTAATTCCATCCCTGCCTCCCTTGTCTCCCGTCACCTCACTCGGAGAGCTGATAGTCTTCTCCTCTTTCCACCAGGCTGGAGCCGTGGCAGGTGCTGGGCTGTAGCCCTCCCACCAACACACAGCGGGGGAAAGCATGCCCTCGGCGGGGACCCGCGACACGGTCTGGGGGCAAGAACGGCACCTGCGGCGAAGACCCAGAGCCGCCTATCCGTTCCCTTTGATCCCACTTATATGTAATACTGCACACGCTATGTGCCTTCCTCAGCGCACCTGTTCTGCTGCGGAGGGAACCGGGGGAGGGAGAGTCCCATGGCCACCAACGCTCACCTGCTTTTTCACTGAAATCGCTACCTGCCTACAACTGATGCTGGAAATCTGTCGAGAATATTCTGCTAAATCACACAAAAAAGAACAATGCTCTCAAGGTTCATTCCCTTCCAACACTCTTCCTGACCCTTTAAACATTTATTTTTTAATTTTTTTTTTATTTTGCAGGCATGGGTGGCCACTTGGACACTCGAGGCCCGAAGACAAGCTCCTGGAAATAAAGAAATATAAATAAAACAAGAGAAATAAAAGGCACAGTGAGACAAGGTCAGGAGGAAATTGGATTCATTTCGTATTTTGCAGTGGTAGCATTGGCTTCCCTCTGGCTCCTGGTCAAATCCGGGTTTGAGAAGAGACAGCCTCCTGGCAGCACATCATCACCTCTCGTAAGCGGGGTGGCAAGGGTTTAATTTGAATTTGGCCTTCCCTGATGGCCAAGGCCACCCTGCCACCCGAAAGCCGGGAAGGGAATAGCTGTGAGGTTCACACGGCATTTTTTTTTTTTTTAAAGATTTTATTTATTTATTTGAGAGAGAGAATGAGATAGAGAGAGCATGAGAGGGGGTAGGGTCAGAGGGAGAAGCAGACTCCCTGCTGAGCAGGGAGCCCGATGCGGGACTCGATCCTGGGACTCCAGGATCATGACCTGAGCCGAAGGCAGTTGCTTAACCAACTGAGCCACCCAGGCACCCTCACACGGCATTTTTGATTCCATATAAAGGCAGCGGAGAAGAAGGGAGAAGACATGTATTTGTGGCAGAGAACCTAAGTTGAAATTTGAGTTTAGCAATGAAGGCTTGTAACAGCTCTTGCAGGAGAGGGCTGCTGAGACGTGAGGCTGTGCATATGGTTTCGCGTGGGACATCCAGAGGCTGCACTTACTTAGTCCCAGACACGCTCTATTGACCAGGTGTTGTAATTAAAAAGTCCGTTGGGGGGCGCCTGGGTGGCTCAGTTGGTTAAGCGTCTGGCTCTTGGTTTCGGCTCAGGTCAGGATCTCAGGGTTGTGAGATGGAGCTCCGCTTTGGGCTCCACGTTGGCACTGGGCAGGCACATGGTGCCTGCTTGAGGTTCTCTCTCTCCTTCTCCCTCTCCCACTCCCCTGCTCGCATGCATGCACGCGCATGCTCTCTCTCAAAAAAATAAAAATAAAAAAAGTCCAGTTGGCATTGGGCAAATAATTTCCTCGTCTCCCTTTCTCTTAGGAAGCTCTGTGGCTAAGACACCCATGAAAATTCTGCCCTATTTCTGCAGTAAACTTCCCACTCCTGGGTTGGGTCAACCAGTGAGTATCAGATTTATATCAGATGGTCTTTGGGGGTAATTGTCTGCAATCCCAGATAATGTGAATTAAGATCTTAGGCTAATGCCCCAAGGCAATCTTTGAAGTGGCTTTGCTTTCCAGATTTTTAAATGTAAAGGTGATTTCATTTGAAACTATAAATTCTAACCTTGAGGACTTACGGTTGGCTGCACCTCTGCCATGTCCCCTACCTTTCTCACAATTTCTAGTCTCCTACCTCAGGCTTCCCGCCAGACAGCCACCAAATTAAAATTCCTGAGGTACCGCTGGATCATGTCAACTCCAAATGCCAAACTCTTCAAAGGCACTGCTGCAGTCTGACATCCAAGGTCATAAAATCTGTATCCAAATTATTTCCATGAACTTCCTTCATTACCTTCAGCTCCCCAACCGGGCTCCACGATGTCCCACCACCGCGTCTTTGCCCAGGCTGTCCCTTGATGAACTTCCCTGTTGTTCACACGCCCACTCCCACTCAAACTGTCAAGGTTGGCTCTTCCCCTGGAGCCCCAGAGAAGTTTCTTTGAGGCTGTCCTGTCACCACGCCAGACTGTTAGTTCCTCGAGGAGGTGACTCTGCTCAGCTCATGGTTCCGTATCCCACAGAACACGGCACAGTCTTCTGTGGTCCCTGGAACGTAAGCCTGTCATCCCCACAGGAAGATCAAACTGGCAAATTCCCAGGAACTTTCTTGCTATAGAAAGGAATGCACCCCTTTCGATCCTGCCCTCCAGTTATGGTCTTGAGCCATGGGAAAGAGAAGGACGTTGCAAACGAAGTCTCCAATCTGGGAGAGTGAATGGGTCAAAGTGAATGTGCTCGGTCAAGGGGTGCTGTTTCTTCCTGCATTAAAAATCTCCCGCAGATGAGCAGTCTCCTGCCCCTGGGCCCACACAACGCATGCTCTGCTTTCCCATCAGTCTGTCTTCCTCTCTTTATCCAGGCAAGTCCTGAGAGGCAATTTACATGCCTTTTGTCCACAAGGTGAAGTAATTAACCTCCCCCTCCCCCTGGGAGAAAGGATGGTGCTGTAAAGGGGGGCAGCTCCTTGCCATCTGCAGGTGGGAGGGCTGCCCCAGGGGGAGGGGGCAGCTGGCCAGTGCAGCCTTCCCTCTGTGGACAGGAATGGGTTTCATTGACTTCCAGACTCCCAGAGGTGTCTGTGGGATTGAAAAGCGCTGCCAGACCACGGGTCAAAGAGAATGGGCCCAGCAAGGCACCAGGCCTCCCCTCCAGGGGAGAACGGAGGCAGCCCCTTAATCACCAGCTTATCCCCCTCCCAGTGGGGCCGGCCCAGAGAAAGGCCAGGTGGACCCACACTTCTTCCACAGATCATGTTTTGTCGAGGCCCTTGCAAGCCGGCCGTTTTCTGGGCCAACGCAATATGAGACGGGCTTTCTCAGCACATTTCAGGTGGGCAAGGCTAAGCTATGATGGTCGGTAGGTTAGGGGTGTTAAGGATATTTTCAAATTACGAGGGGTTTCTCGGGTTTAAGCCCATCATAAATCGAGGAAGATCTGTATTCCATGCTCCAGAAGAAAAGAGTTAAACCAGCGATAAAACACTCATCAGTATCGTTCTGGTGTGCGAGTGTGGGGTAGTGCATCCCATGTCACACCCAAATCCAGAGGCCCCTTTCCAGCATCCAGGGTCCTTGATAGGCTGGAGGGGGGCGTTCCCCATTCCCATCATCAGGACTGCTGTTGGGGGTTCTCGCCATCAGGATTGAGAAGCAAAGGGCTCTGAGAAGTCCTGCAGCTCTCCACAGGGTGGTGGACCCAGAATCACGCATCTTCCCAGGGCATTCTCCCTTCTGGAAATGGGAGTGACGGCTCACCAAGAGAGGACAGAGAGGCAGGCCAGTGTTGGTCCCCAGCATGGAGCTGAATTTCTGTGATGGCAATTAGCAGCAGGTGGAGGAGGGGTGACAGCAGAACTCTTTCTTTTCCCCAAGGTAGCCGTGGAGAATCACACACCTCTGGGCTTGCTGGGGTCTCCAGGCCCATGTACTGCCCTGCCTCGTGTCCCTGCTGGTTACAGGGCAGAGCTGACCATCTGAGGCTGGGTCAGCCTCCCCCTCCTGCCTCCTATGGACTTCCGTCCCCGACCCTGGCTCAGCTGCTCCCCACCCCCCGGGCCCTTCCACAGCTCCTTGGTAACCCTCACGCCCCAGGCCCACAGTTCTACTAACTACTGCCTATCTTCTCTCCTCTTGGCCAAGCGTCTCACAAGAGTGATCTACTCCAGTGCCCAGTGTGTCCCTGGACCAGCAGCCCAGCAACAGTGGGAGCTGGGGCTTAGGTAGGGATGCAAATTCTCAGCAGGATCCCCCTCCCCAACTACTGACTCACAGCCCAGCAACAGCGGGAGCTGGGGCTTAGGTAGGGATGCAAATTCTCAGCAGGATCCCCCTCCCCAACTACTGACTCA